AAATTTTTGTATACTGTGTAAAATAAATATAAATAAAATATATAAATACTTTTTTTTTGCCCTCCCCCGAAAAGAGCCCTAGCGCGTATTTGGACCAAAAAGAAAGTAAGACAGTGTCTTATTTTTGGAAAAAGACGGTATTAACTATTGGCTTAATGTTTACAATGGAAAGATTTTTTGAACTACTTGAACTGGAAGAATGTAAAAGAAGTTTTTCGAATTTAACTGCAAGTGTGTTTTTATGACAGTTAACTGCATTCTCCGTTCTAGACCAAGACTTTTGTTCAAGGGCAGTGAATTTTGGATATGAATTAGCGAGTTCCAGATGAAGCTTATAGAGCTTATGTTCAATTTTGGATAACTGTTGACATGTATCCCTTATGATTGACCAAAGTAAGGCTAGCTTGCAGTTTAAAAGAATTCTTGAAACATGACTGGAATTAAAATCAAACGTGATCTAATCAAAAACCTTCCAGTCGTGTTTCAAGAATTCTGTTAAACTGCAAGCTAGCCTTACTTCGGTCCGTGATAAGGGATACACGTCAACAATTGTCCAAAATTGAACAGAACTATAAGCTTCATCTGGAACTCGCTAAATCATATCCAAAATCCACTGCCCTTGAACAAACGTCTTGGTCTAGAACGGAGAATGGTCAGACCTGTCAGAGCTCAAATGAATGAGATAAGATATAGTCATTAGATAAGATAAGAATGGCTGGACAGGAGTTAAGCTGTTGGTGCCATCTATTGATGAAATGAGAATTAAAACATAATTTCCTTAAAGGCAAAGATGGATTGGAATTAGGGTTGTTAACTAGAACAGAAAGACTCTTTTTGAATGTGAAATACCTCAAGAAAATCCAATACACCAATGGAAGAAGCTTTTTGAATAATTTTGGCTACAAAAAAATTGGAAATGGGATTTTCAGACCAACAATGCTGGGCAACAGAGAACTTCTGTGTTTCCTTTTTCTTAACATACGGCTCGTGTTCCTTAATGCGGAATTTTAAGGCTCTCTTTGACCAATGCAAATTAACACTGGCAAGGAATCCTGTAAATATCTCAAGAATTTATGTTTGTAATGGGGTCCTTGAGTATGGAACTTGGAATTTTATTGATAGGAGAATAAATGACACGAAAATTAAATTTCTGTAAAATACGTGCAATTTTATAGCTATTTGATGGAAAGAAAGGAATGATAACAGAATTCTTATAAGCATTCTTCCATTCCTGTCATTTCTTTCTTTCCATCGATATATATGGTGTTTCAGCAATTCGGATACAAAATTTCTGGAGAGACAGAGTACACCTGGGTGATGGAAAATCGCATAGCAATGCATGGTCAAAAAGGCTTTTCTGGCACAGTGACAACATAAAATGCAAGAAAGGAACATAAACAGGGGGAGGAAACATGTTTATTATGATTAGTTTCATAAATATATATGTAATGATATTTTTAAATCAATTGATTAAATTTAATTTTAATCATATTGCTTAATAATGTGTTAGCGATTCTCTACCTAAATTTTGGCAAAATCCTTTCTTTATTATAAATTATATTAACTTGTTGGCGCCCGCCATATCGCCAAACTCGTAAATCTGTTGTATTACATAAAGTCCTTAAGAACACTCTTCATGAGAAGATACCGTCATCTTGTGATATCAGTTAATATCGCTGGTTGGATGAGCAGCATGATGCACACATATCTATAAATAGGACTTCTCCTCAAGGTACAGGGAGGAACGCTTGTGAGATGGATGCTGAAATAAACGTATCACTTTATATTCCAAAATTTGTCTCATTCCTGTTGCCCCGGCTGCACAACACAAATAATGTATAAGAAAATACATTTCATATATATATATATGTGTGTGTGTGTGTGTGTATGTGTGTATATTTGAACAACCAACTGCAATAAAAAAGTAAGAGGCACAACTAGATGTAATAGCAGTCTTGTAATACAAAATTTCAATGTTCTATATCTAATTGTTTTTGAGTTATGCAAGATACATGCATACATATGTATGTACAGATTTCATAAAAAATCCCCTTTAAAGCTATTTTACCATCCATTTTGGAAAAAAGCATTCTCTTATTCTGTCCGTTTTTACAGAGTTCAGGCAAAGAAATTGTCCAAACAGATTTAGGAACAATCAAAATGAATATGTCTGTTGAAATATGATACCCAAATTTTTTTACAATTATGATACTTTAATTACTACTTTATTTCTTACGAGAAAGTAAAAAAGCCCACTTTGTGCTCATTTAAAACAAAGATTATGAAGCAGAAGGTGAAAAATCACGTCCTTAAGCATCGCTCAGATTAGCGGTTCTCAACCTATGGAACATTTACCTCTGATATGTGATGGCTTAGTTGGGTATGCAAAAATATTATATAGTACAAAGTCCATAATATGGACTCATCGGGACTTCGGCGATTCCTGATTTGGAGTTTTCCGAATTATAGGTCATCAATTTAAATCTAGTAAGATGGCATGCAGAAATTATACAATTAAAAATATGAAACTGTTATTTATGAAAGAGCAATTATGATCTAAAGAGTATCAAAATTTACAAAAAAAACAGCTTAATATTTATTTGTTTACTTTATTAAACATTTCTTTCAATGTAAGCTGTTTAAGTTGCTTCATTTTTTGTGCTAATACTTTCTCTTTAATTCTATAAACAGACATAATTTTTCGTTCAGTTACAAAGTTCCACTGTTCAAGTCCTGTAATTGCTGTGTTGAGAATACAGACTGACTTGTCAGTCAAAATTTTTTTGTTTTCAGTAACCTCTCTGTCACTTTCTTCACTATCGGAAACAGTATTTTCTGGATCTAGAACCGTACTACAGATTTTGCCATCCTTTAATTGATTGGGGATTGTCATCACAATGAAAAACTTATGTTATATCATCTGCATTTATTACTGCTTCTCCACATTTCCTTACAAAATCCAATAACTGGAAAATATCTCCTTTAGTTTGCGATGTCCGAAAACCTTCAAATTCGCGGCTATCGTCTTCATTGTCCTCACCATGAAATATGGTAGCTGGCCATAAATTATGCCAAGCATTTTTTTTAACATATCTGGAGACACATCCTCCCATGATCTTGCGATGCTGCATGCAGCAGATTTTATGCTAAAAAATTTCAAAAAGTCTTGAATAGTCTTGCCGTTGTTCAAGAAATTTAACATAGGTTTTAAAAATGCTACTTTATATTTGCATTTCAGCGTGTGCACTATTCCCATATCCATTGGCTGAATAATAGATGTACAATTTGGAGAGAAGAATAATACGGATACATTATCTTTCACTAAAACTTTAAGCGAAGTATGCGCCGAACAGCAGATTTTATGCAAAAAAATTTCAAAAAGTCTTGAATAGTCTTGCCGTTGTTCAAGAAATCTAACATAGATTTTAAAAATGCTACTTTATATTTGCATTTTAGCACGTGCACTATTCCCATATCCATTGCCTAAATAATAGATGTACAATTTGGAGGGAAGAATAATGCGGATACATTATCTTTCACTAAAACTTTAAGCGAAGTATGCGCCGAACAGTTGTCAACAATCAGGACTAATTTTGAGTCATCAGGTAAACCAACCGAATTCAAATGTCGCTGATCCTCGGGTATAAAAGGATTTTCAAACCAAACATTCATCAATGCTTGTTCAACGCTTGTGTCATCCATGCTCTTGTATTTGCGCGATATATAACGGGGAAAATCATTACTTCTTTAAATGTTCAAGGTCGTGTATGTTTTCTGATTACAAAACGTTTGCACTTATGCATTCCTGCAGCATTTGCACATGCTAAAATTGTTAGTCTTGCTTTAGAATCTTTGACACCACTTGGAGCCTTTTCTCTAGAGGTTGCCAAGGTATTTCACGGTACATATTGCCAGAAAAGACTAGTTTCATCAACATTGTAAATTTGTTCTGGAGATAATTGTTCAATGAATTCATCTGCAAATTGTTCAGCAGCTTCAGTATCAGCTGAAGCATTTTCACCTGAAATTTTTTATTGTCTTATACCATGGCGATTTTTTAATTTGGTTAACCAACTTGTCGAATATGTGCACTCATGCTTAAGTTCATTTCTTCATGAAATATTTTGGCTTGAGCCATTAGCATTGGACCCGTCAATGGCACACCCTCACTGCGATGCTGATTGACTCATTCAATCATCACTTTGTCATGATTGTCACTTTTAGCATAATGAACCCTTTTCTGTTATTCATTGAAACTGGGGTGTCGGAATCCATAAAAAATTCAAAAAGTTCCTTTTTCTTTTTGCTTGTGTCATATACAGTCGACTTTCCAATGTCACACTCCTCCTGTAATTTTGAGACGGATGTGTCTTTAGCCATTTTTTGCAACAATCGCACTTTTTGTTTGATGGACATCGAAACATGCTTTCGCTTTGTAGATCCTTTGGCAGCTCCAGAATTAGAAACTCTTTTTGACATAATCGAAAGTTCAAGCTTAATTTTTATAAAATTGCTCCAACAGTCTGCAACAAATAATAAGCCGGATCCAATTAGAAGATTAAGGAACAGTGCAATCTGCAACATTAACTGAAATGCCTTAGAATCAGTAAAGATAATTTTAGTTTAGCTTATACCGTCCATTATACATTAAACGCGCATGCGTAAACGCATTATGGGCATGCATAAAGCATATAAAAAAAAGTTTGTGGCTTTGAGGTCTGGATTATAGATCATTCCAGATAATGGATGTCCGGATTACGGACTTTGTACTGTATATAAAAGTTGTTTAAAATTTCTTTTTTTTATATGATAAGAGGAATATGGTTTCCAGATATGCATTTTAAAGAATTTTGTTTCATACTGAAGCCAATTTAGCACTTATTAGATTTTGCATATATGAAAGAGTTAATTTAAGTTAGAGTCTGTGGATTTAATGAAAGTTGAATATTTGCTATTCTTGAAGTTCTTCCAGCATTGATTTTGTTTGTTTATTTTTAGGTATGTTTTAAAATATAAAGAATGTCTGCGACCTATCTTTGATGTTTCTCCAGTTTTGGTTTTTTTATCATCTGAGATAATCAATGCTGTAAAAATGTACAAATATAATTTGAGCAAGGTTGATAATGAGGTATTTTTTTTAAATAAGGAAAATTTGCATATTTTCTGTACTGAAGTATTTAATTGCTTTTGACTGGTATTTATATTTCTTTCTTAAATCTGTACAGCAGTATAAAAAATTATTTATATAATGACCTTAATATAATTTATTTTATTAGGAGGATTAATAAATAATCTGTTACATATCATTTTTCAAGTTTAATGCACATTTTATCTCTGAATGTTTTGTTTCTTCATATATAAAGAATCATTAGTAAAACTTGTCTGCAAAATAGATAAGCATTAATGGAGAGTGTTACAAGATATTTTATATATTAATTAACTAATTATTATGATGTAAGCCTTTGCTATAACTTCTTTTTTTCCCCCTATTCCTCATCAGAATACAAATTAGTTGCTGGGGATTTTTAATACTTAGATTAGAGCTTCTGGCAATCGTGTCCTATTATTGCTTACAGTCACCAGCTTTGCTGAAGTTGTATTCCAACTCGCTAGGCAATGTTAAATACTTGAGCCAGTTGAAGTAAATTATTCTGTATTGTAATCTCAGAAATGAAGTACCTACATTTTAATTTAACTTTCTGTTAACTATTCTGTTCTGTTAAATATCCACAAGTTACTTAAGCTTGTCTATTGCATAAGCAGTGCTTTTTTTTTTTATTTGTAACTTAAAGGTTATTTTAACCTTTCTTTGGACTTTCTTTTGTTTCAGATTAAGCTATAACTCACTTCAAATCTAGTAGGATCTATAGGACACTTGACACAGGTTTCTAGATACAGTGGAACCCTACAGAGTATTAAATCATGAAAATAGCAGTTATTCCTTGAGATAATGTTGTTTAAGTGAATGAAGCTATTAATATGTGAATAAAAATTTAATTCAGTAATGCAACTTTGCACAATTGCCATTCTTTTTTTTAAATTAAAAACATCAAGCAGCTTGTAAATATACTTATTAGAAAACTTGAAAACTCACATTTTTCTTATTTATGTACCTCAATTTTTTATGTTGCATAAATATCTTCCAGTAACTTTTCCAACATAACTACAATTTTAAAAAAATTATTAATTATTTTTAAAATGGGGTTTTAAAGAGTACTCTGAATTGCTAATACAGTCAAAAGTCGTTAATCCGGACTCGTCAGGACTTCGGCGATTCCGGATTATAGATCATCAGTTTAAATCTGGTAAGATGGCATGCAGAAATTACAAAATTAAAAATATGAAACCGTAATTATGAAATAAGAACAATTATGAACTAAAGGGTATCAAAATTTACAAAAAGAAAAAGCTTAATATTTATTTGTTTACTTTATTAAACATTACCTTCAATGTAAGTTGCTTCGTTTCATGTGATAATACTTTCTCTTTAATTCTATTAAACAGACATAATTTCTTGTTTAGTTACAAAGTTCCGCTGTCCAAGTCCTATAATTGCTGTCTTGAGAATACCGACTAATTTGTCAATCGAAATGTTTTCGTTTTCAATAACCTCTGGGTCACTTTCTTCACCTTCGGAAGCGAATTATATGACGAGGAACTTGATTTAATCATATCAAAGACGGGATGAAAATACTACACTTAGTACGGAATTAATAACCAAATAAAATAAAAACATCTGCCCTGAAGATAAGGATAGTGCTGACAGATCAACTTCCAATCCGCAGCGTGAAATTGATAAACAGATTTTGGATTTCAAACTTACTTTCGCTTTGTAGATACAATTACATATTAGTAAATATATATCGGAAATTCTATTTGACATAATCTTTCTAATCTATCATAATTTAATATGATGTTTCTGCCCCCCCCCCTCTGCCGCAGAGCAGCGTGAAATTGATAAACAGATTTCGGATTTCAAAACATACTTTCGCTTTGTAGTAAATATATATCGGAAATTCAATTTGACATAATCGAAAGTTCAAGCTTACTTTTATAAAATTGCTCTAACAGTCTGCAAAAAATAATAAGCCGGATCCAATTCGAAGATTAAGGAACAACGCAATCTGCAACATTAACTGAATTAGATAACTTCAGCTTAGCGTATTACTTCGTTACACATTAAACGCGCATGCGAAGAAACATATTCGCAGCCGTAAGAGTCTTACGCGCTCTCGTAAACGCCTGTGCGCTTGCGTAAACGCGACGCATGCGCAGAAAGTTTGTAGCTTTGAGGTCTGGATTATAGATCATTCCGGATTATGGGTGTCCGAATTAACGACTTTTGACTGTACCAGAGATGGCCATCCTAAGACCCAGGCTACATTCAGTCTGCCTTGTGAAATTTTGCAGCTAGCAGCAGAAGTCATGAAATTTCTAATTTGATACCTTCTGTTAACACAAAAAAAAATTAAGAAATCTGTTCAAACGCCTCTGAGTTAAAAACAACGTGGAAGCTGTCAATAGAAGCACATTAGAGCTGTAACTTCAAGGTTTCTGATTGGCCAAAAAAGCAGCAAAGAAAAGGCTGAAGCAATAATGTGACTAACACATTTAACATATTCGCCACTGATAACCATGAATACAGAATGACCAACTGCTCAGTGTTTTCAACATAACGAATTTTCAGAAACAGTTAATGCAGTGAATAACGGGGAGAAAAAGTACCGTTTTATTATTCAGAACCCCAAATTAATGTGTTTAATTTCTTGAGAACCCGTCACTGTATTTTAACATAATGATTATATGATATCAGAGAAAGAAGAAAAAAATCAAAGCTTACAGAATTTAAATCAAAATTGAAGCTCAATAAAAAATGTGTAGTTCAGCATTAAAACAACCATTTAATATTGTGAAGGCAAGTGATAAAAGTAAGTTATTTTTTTGGTTTTAGTTTATCTCGGCAAATGGCATGTTATTGAATTACCTATATTTGAAATGAAATTATCCTAAATATGTACAATTTGGGATTTCAAATCTATCTCTTCAGTATTTGACGAAAGTATAGACATTTCGGACACTGCTCAACTTGTAGCATTCATTTGTGGAATAAATGAATCATTTAAAGAAACTGAAGAACTACTAAACCTGATGAGTTTGAAGGACACTACAAAAAGAGAAGATATTTTTCAAGCTCTTGAAAACTGTGTGAAAACAACTTGTGTTTAGAAATTCTTTCTGGAATATCAACTGATGGCACAGCAGCTATGATTGGTAAAGAAATAGGAGCTGTAAAATTACTAATAAAAAAATAGAATCAAACAACATTAAAATTGAAGCTCTAATTATTATTCATTCTTTGATTCATTGACAAAATTTTTTCACTCACGTTATTAGCGATGAATCATGTTATGCAAGTGTTCATAGAAACGGTAAATTATATTTGACCATATGCACTTTCACATCGATAGTTTAATGAATTTATAACAAAATTAGATACTGAATGTAATAAAATTATATATTTCAGTCATGCCAAATGGTTAAGTTGTGAAAGATATTTATAACGATTTTTTTGAGTTACACCAAGAAATTGATTTGTTTATGAATGAGACCGGTATAAAAACTAGTGCAGAAGTAAGTAATGAAGAGTGTTTATTGGATTTATGTTTTTTAATGGAAACAGTAGAAAAATTTATCAATTAAATACTCGTATATCTTTGCTAGAGAAAGATAATAATCAGTGCTTTTAAACACATCAAGCATTTCAGAAGAAATTGCTTTTTTTAAATTTCAATTAGAAAACGGTAACATTTTCTAATTGCAATTAAAAAAACTGAATAATTGCAATTCAAAAATTCATTTTCTATTACTGAAAGAATTTAAAAATTTAGAATATGATAATAATTTTGAATATGCTAAAGAATAAGGGAACTTATAGCTGCTTTTGACAGTTAATTCAGCAATTTAGGTAAATGTGATAAAACATTTGAAATATATTCATCTACCATTCATGTTAATATCATGTTGACTCCAGAAAAATCTCCTGATGGAAGTAATTGATTTATAGTGCAGTGACAAACTGAAACTCATTTTTCAAACATCAGAATCAAAAATTGATTTTAATGACATTTGTATAAAAAAAGAAAAAAATTCACTTTGAGAAATCTGGCACAAAAAATTGTGAGGGCTTCTGCAAATTGTTTTTTAAAAATCAAATTCACGAAATATAAAAAATCATGGGCGTGCATAACTGATAAAACTTGAAACATCAACTACAATGGGCATTTGAGATTGACTTAAAAACTAAATAAGAGAAAATAGAAACAAATATTGCATTGTTTACAGTAAATATAATATTGCTCAAATTGATTATTATTGTTCAAATTATTTATGTATAGTCAATTTTTTATTGTTCTGTTATTAATTTATGAATAATAATAAAAACTGTAATAATAATATATTCTGTTTTAATTTTTCATCTAAAAAAATTTATATGTATCTATACAAAGGTTGCTATTTATATTTCTGGCCTTCTAAACAGTAAATGTTGTTAGGTGACTGCAGATGATTCCATTTGAAAGTGTAATATTTTTAACCATGGCATCTTCAGAACGTTTTGTCATTTTAGCGCGAGTTGTGTTGTTTACAGTAAATTAAAAAATTCATCTCAGGCAAAAAATGGAATTGACTTGTGAACATTTTCATGTGATTATTTTTCATAACTTTCGATGCAGGTTATCAAGACAGAAGAGAAGCTCAACTCAAATAAATCATGAAAGTGAAGCAATAACCTGTGTTAGATGTAGATTTTTAGCATAGAAACCCTATCGATTTCGAGGGCAAACAAAGTCTTTCTTCATCATGAGCAAAGAAATGTGCAGCAAAAGATGGTTGCAGATATCTTTGCTCCTGATGAAGTGGGACTTTGTTTGCCCTTGAAATCGATAGTATTTCTATGTGGATTATGAAGACACGAGTGCTTTGATGAACTTAATTCTTTATACAACAATAAAGCACCATCCTGCAGCACTGTAAAAAACTGGTACAACGAATTCAATCATGGTGGACATTTGCTCCAGGATGAATTCCATGAATGTCGTCCAAAATCGGTTGTTGTGCCGGAAAATATTGATGCTGCGTGTGAACTGATAAAACTAAATCACCATGTGACATACCATTAGTTGAGGCACTTTTGGGCATTAGCATGACAAGCATCAATAAGATATTAAATGAACATTTGACTGTGAAAAAAGATTTGTTCATGTTGGATCCAGAATAGTCTGACAAACGCTCAAACGAAGGCACGTGTCGATTGGTGAAAGGAAATGTCAGAAAAATGCATTCAAGGTGCATCAAAGGCAGTGTATAACATTTACACAGGTGACGAATCATGAGTCTAAGCATATAAGCCTGAAATAAAACAGTAATCGACTGTATGGTTCTTCCAAGATGAGCCAAATCCAACAAAAGTTGTTTGCAGAAGAAGCACATTGAAGCTAATGGGTGCCTATGTCTTCGGTATTAATGGTCATGTGGTGACAGTGGCATTAGGGCAAAGCAGGACTGTTAATTTCAAATGGTACGTGACCATTTGTTTCTGAGAAATCATTGGGGAAATCCAAAAAAAACGGAAGAGGCGAATGTTCATCATAACAATGCAAGCTCTCACACATGAGCTCAAGCAAAGAAGTTTTTGATGGAGTTTTGAATTGATGGTACAGCCCTGATTTGGCTCCCAATGGTTTTTATTCCCACACATCAAAAGTAAATTATGTGGTCAGCGATTTGCAACACCCGAAGAAGCTGTTCATGCATACAAAACGCATGTTTTGGAGTTACGTCAATTGGAGTGAAAAAAGTGCTTTGGTTGAAATGCATGCAAAAGTATATTGATCTAGAATACTTTGAAAAACAATAAAACCAATTTCAATTGTAAACATTTGTTTTTTCATTATTAGGCCAGAATGATAAATTGGCAACCTTCGTATATAACATATAGATAGATAGATATAGATTTATTTTTATATAGATATTCTAAGTAAAAGTAATTATGAGTAAATTAATAAGCCTAAAACTTGCACTAAAGTTGCTGAATAATAAACCAATAATTTATTATTAGAAAAAGTTTTTTATATATTATCACCAAGGAACAGAAATTCAATTAAAGCCATGAATTATATGGAAAATGTTTTAGTCAGTATTTTAATGAATATTTTAGTATAATTGTTGCGATTCAGGATTTTTTGTTACAGATTTTAAATGGTTTTTACTTAATTATACTAATTTAAAATAATTATAATACTGACTAAAATTTTTTCTTATACTAACTGAATTTCTGTTCCTATAGAGGAATTATATATTATGAATTCTTACCACCAAATCAGTCAATAAATTCAGAAAAACTGCTCTTTCCAAATGGCAGTTTTAAAAACAGAAATGGAAGCAAAGCACCCAGAACTGACCAATTGTTGAAATATTGTCTTCCATCATAGCAATGTTCTGCCCCACATTTCAGTGAATGTCAGATTGGGGTGTTTTCAGTCACTCATTTCCACCTTGTCCCCTAAAATTTCATCTCTTCAGGTCGCATGAAAATTTTCCAACCAGCCTAGTGCTTATTTCTTTGGAGACTATTCAAGCAGCACCTCAATAACTTCTTTACAAATAAACCTAATGACTTCTTAACCGATTGTCAGTAAGATAGCAAAAAGACAAAGAAAAAGTGCTTCTTGTGTGATTCAGTGCAATTTTCTTGTTTTTATACTGCTTTATTTTTATTTATCTTAAAAGAATTGCATAATTTTCCAAGTATATATATTTCTGACTATAATTCTCTTAAACAATGTGTGGCTTTGTTATTTAATAAAAGAAGTTTTTAACTTAATATGTTACTTAAATTTTTATGATGATTTTTTAACCAAAAAATATTTTTTTTAATTCTCTTTAAAATGTAATGCATTTGATTGTGATTTAATTTTTTTTATTGCATTTTACTTTACACTGAAGCTAAAATGAAGTTTTGAATCATTTATCTTTATAGGTTGAAGAACTGGAAGATGTCAAAATTTGTTCCTTTCAGCTAAATGCAATTAAAAAGATATATGAAGTTTTTAAAGGAATTACAAGTGACAATGTTAATTCCTTCAGAATCATGATTATCGAATTATATCAGTATGTTTTTGCTATAATTTATATTCAAGTTATTGTTGTTTATTTGCATGTGGTATGTATTGGATCTTGCCAACTGTCACTTATTTATTTACTTTGTTATCTTTATTAAGATTTTTGTGCATATTGTGTATTATTTTTTTAATATACTGTAATTGAAAGGTTTTGTATGCAACATCAGTTCTGTATGCTTGAACTAGGGAGGAGAATATTAAGAGAATTATTCATACTTGAGATGTTATTATGCATTTTGATCATTTCTGTGCATTTAAATAACCAGTTTCTGGTCATTTAAGGCTGTATTTTTATCAGAGGGCTAATAGCTGGCCAAGTGTATAAGAAAAAGAAGAAATGATGGTTACAAAATTGTACATCTAGCTAAATTGTGCCTAGGATGGTGGGCAAAGTAATTCCAAAAGATTTTGTGAGATATGTTTGCATATTAGAAAATTATTCTGTGTCCTTTTTTCAGTAATAAAGAAGATTGAAATATTACTATAGAAAACTTTATTTTCATTCATTTAGTGGTCATATGTATTGGAATAGTATAAAATCAGTACTTCATACATAATTTTTTTGAAACTGTCACTTTAGTGTTCATCTTTTATGGAATATTTTTATGGTCTTTTTTTTTTTTTTTTTTTTTTTTTTTTTTTTTTTTTTTGTGTGTGTGTGTGTGTGTGTGTGTAGATTTTTAATTCATGTTATGGTTTCTTTCTTTTTTTTTTTTTTTTTTTTTCCTTGCGCATTTCTCTTCAGCTGATGTTTCCTTTCAAAAATCTTCTACATTCTCTCTAAGGGAAAGGTATCCTTTCTTTTACACAGATAGCCCTTGTGTGCTTTTCCATCAAAATAACCTATCTGCAGCTTTTGTTATCCTGAGAGCTTCTTTGATATAAGGTAGGATGACCAGCCAAGTTTTTGGATATTACTTCTGCTGGATGACCTTTGTCTTTTAGTTGTTAAGTGCATAACAATTCTCATTTTCAACTTCAGAATTTTCCAAAATATTGCTTACTGAATATGAGTGCCATTTGTACAATATATATAGCAGTATGATTCATTTATACCAAATTCCTTGTTAATTATCAGCAGCTATAACTTTTCCTACTGATTATTTATTTATTTTTTAAAAATTATATTGAGTTTTTAAAGCAAACATATACTATTTCAGTTGATTTTGGTCTTCTATGAAGGTTTTCTTCTCATAGAAGGTTGATGTTCAGAATAAATATATATTTATGCAGTCAGAAACATTGGTCACTTTCAGATGTAGCTGTATATTAGTTCACTACTTTGGTAGATTAATGCATAGAAATAAAGCATGGAAATAAATCATGGAGATTAACACATAGAAATAAATCATGGAGATTAATGGATGGAAATAAATCATGGAAATCAATACATATAAGTAAATTATGGAGATTAATGCATGAAAATAAATCAGGAAGATTAATGCATAGAAATAAATCATGGAGATTAATGCATGGAAATTAATATATTAGTTTACTATGGTCGATTAATACATCGAAATAACTCATTGAATCATGCATTTAAATGCATAGGACTTTTGCTTATTACTGTAAGCATTCATGTTGAGATATTAATGAACTTCAGCTGTAAAAGATTTATTCAAAACTTCCTCAAAACACTTAATAAATTGTTAGCAATATAGCATAAATTATGTGTTTAATTAGCACAATTTTTTTATCCTTTTAAACAACATGATAAGGGAAAATTAAGGAATTCATTAATTTATTTAGATAAAACATTGTAATGATTATAAAGGTCACAAAATTTGCTAATTTTAAATGTGCAATAACTCTTTGCCATCTGAACAGAATTTTATCATGAAATAAAAATACATTTAAAAAAATTCATATATTATCATGAAAATGAAATCTTTCTATTTGAGAAAATAAAGGAATTAAAAATTACAAAAGCCTTTTGTATGTACAGTTTTTCGAAGCAATAAGTGATAGTTTTGCTGAGTTTGTATGGATTTCATTGCCAGTGTTTGAACTGGTTTTCTGTACAAGGGCTTCACAGTTTTCCTCACATTTAGGATAAATATGTGCCAGTTCCTCTAAGAAAACCCTATATATAAGCATCTTTCTTTGTAGATAGGTAGAATTATTTCTCCAACTTCGACATCCGAATGGTACCATCGCTTTGAAAGTTCTTGTTTCATGGGACCAAATATATGGAAGTCAGGAGGTGAAAGGTCTGGACTATAAGGAGGGTGATTCCACACTTCCCACCTATACCGTTTGTGCCTTGCGTGTCGGTGGGCTGTTTTAGCTGGAGCGTACATCTGTCCCGGATGGGTCAGACTACTCTGGGGACGAGGCTTATTCAACTCAGAGCAATCAAGGGGCCACGGAGACTATGTGGTCCCCGCTTCGAAATCCATACCGTGCAGCTGAGATTTGCAGGTGCCAAATCACCTAAACTTTTTCAGAAAGTCACACGTTTGTTTTGCTGCATGTGATCTTGCACTGTCATGCAGGAGCACAATGTCGCTCGACAGTTTACCTGGCCGTCGATTTTTACATGGTTGTCGCAATTGTTTTAGTGTTTCACAATAAGAAGATGCATTAAATTGTCGCACCCTTCGGCATGAACTCTGTATGCACCACGCCTTCTCTGTCAAAAAACAGCATCGTCTTCACCTTTTCTGCAGATGGAACAGTTCGACACTTTGTTCGTGTCAGGGAACTGCAATGTTTTCACTCGAGCGAGCTGCGTTTTGTTTCAGGTCAGAAGTGGTGAATCCAAGTTTCATCTCCAGTCATAATTTTGTCCAAAACCTCATTTCCTTCCGTTTGCTAACGTTGCAGAAATGCAAATGCACTTTCAAAACGCTTTTCTTTATGTTCCTTCATCAATAGATGTGGCACCCATCGAGCACAAACTTTACGAAATTTAATGTGATCGGCAATAATTTTATGCACACTTCCATGAGAAATATCCAGTTCATTTGAGATTTTGTCTATAGTTATGTGTCTGTTTGCAAGAATGCATTCATTCACGCGAGCAGCAATTTCCGAATTTGTTGCAGTTGATGGTCTTCCCTCGTGCTCAGCATCGTCAATATCTGTACATCCATTCTCAAACATGTTCCATTTCGCGATAGCTTGACGTGACATTGCATTTTCACCATACACTACATGCAACTGCCCATAAATTTCAGCACAGTTGCACCTTTTTGCCCACAAAAAAAACGAATCACTGCACACATTTCCAATTTCGACACTATATGCAGCTGTCGAGACATGTTTGCAACTGATTACCAGAAAAACTAAACTTGCCTTGCGGAAGCCTCTACATTACGCGATTAAAGTACATGACTGAAGTGTTGCCACATAGTGTCATCCAAATAATCTTGGAACATATTTACGCAGTAGTGCAACTAACTTTCTGACTGACCTGCGTATTTTGCATCCTATTCTGTTAAACTGCATGAATATCTTTTCTTAATGACTGTTGTGATGTATTTTAATGTATTTTTACTGCTTAATGCAAGTGTATATTTTTTAATAAGATATATTTTTAATCTGTTATTTTTCTGTTGTATTTTTCTACATATTGTTTATTTTTAGCCTTTTTATATTGTGTTATTTGCCTGATGCAGTAGAAGGAAAATATCTGGAATGTGTGAAAAACGTGTTGCTGAAAAATGTTCAACCAATGACAGCACTTTTGTTTACCGACTCTTTGTTTATGACATCTGTTCTTCAAATAAACACAGAAGGTGACTAACTATTTTCTTTTATTTTTATACCATTGTTGATTCTTATTTGATTCATCTAAATAAACTTTATTTTAAACTAGAAAAATGAGACAAATTTTTTATACAGATTATGTGTACAAGTAACAGAGAAAACCAAAGGAAAATATATATATCCTAGTGATTTTGCATGTTCACTTTTGTGTTCTTATGATAGATTATAATTTATTTAATTAACCTAATATGGAAATATTAGGTGCATAATATACATAAGTTTTGATAAGTCCAGACAGTAAGGCCTTGAATATACCGGGTGGCCATAATTAAACTGACTGTGCTCACAGTGTTCTGTAGCACGATCTACTTGCGAGAATGATGCCACATTTTGTAGGAAGATTAAACAAGACGGAGGACGAAGGATTCCGCAAAAACAAAAACTAGTTCCAAAAGTCACCGCTAGGGGAATATTTGGCGCTTTGTAATAGAAAATAGAGTGTTAACAAATGCAAATTAATATGGAATAAAATTACCTTTTATTATGGATATGCCTTATGGAATACGGATATGCCTTACAGTAAGGTGTGGAAAATCTTACGAAAGATTATCAACTTCTATCTGTACAAGATCAGCCGTGTACAGGAGTTACTGTACCCCGACCATAATAAGCGATTGACTTTTGCTCTCACCTTTCTTGCCAGAATGGAGGTGGATGATGCTTGGCCATGGAAAATCTTATGGGAAGACGAGGCCCACTTTTACCTGAATGGAACTGAATGCCCAGAACTGCCGAATTTGGGATGACAAATCACCACATGCAGTCACAACAATTCCCCTACATTCACCAAAGGTAACTGTTTGGTGTGGGTTCACAGCGGAATTTATCGTAGGTCCATTCTTTTATGAGAAAATTACCCCGACAGGACCGGAAACCTGTTCTATTACCGGAGAGAAATATCGCTACATGTTGAACAGCTTTGTCATTCCGGCACTTCAGCAAAGACAATGCCTGGGGAAAATCATTTTCATGCAAGATGGAGTCCCCCTACACGCTGCAGTACGGGTGCAACAGATGCTACGACAAAAATTAACAACAGAGAGAGTCATTAACCGCTACTTTCCAACTGCATGGCCACCTCGATCACCTTATCTTACCCCATGTGACTTCTGGTTATGGGGTTACCTTAAGTCCAAGGTATATCAAGGACTGGTCCAGGACCTGGCTACGTTGAAGGATAACATATCACGGACTGTACGGGAGATTCCTGCAGACATGTTACTTTCTGCTGTTGTGCATACTGTGCGCAGAATGCAATATGTGGTCCACAACAACGACAGCCACATTGAACCTCATTTGAATGCAAAATAAAAGGTAATTTCCGTATTGATTTGCATTTGTTAACACTCTATTTTCTATTACACAGCGCCAAATATTTCCCTAGCGGTGACTTTTGGAACTAATTTTTTTCCGCGGAATCCTTCGTCCCCCGTCTTGTTTAATCTTCCTACAAAATGTGGTGTCACTCTTGCAAATAGATTGTGATACAGAAAACTGTGAGCACCGTCAGTTTAATTATGGCCACCCGTTATGTGCACATATTCAAAGATATGCTGAAATCTGATGCAGTCCTTAATGATAAGAGGTAAGGGACAAGAACTTGGCAACAAACTGGCTCTCCTTCTTTATGGAAAGTGTTAGCCTACTGAAGATGTTCTCCAATTAAATCATTCATCTTTCATCTAGATAGGATTAAATGAGCTAATGATAGAATATTTCAACATTGGTTTTTCTTCACTTTAAGGCCAAGTATTCTTATGGAAAATTCTCAGTCTGCATCATTTTAATCTGTTCTGCCAAATGAAATTTTAATTAAGCTGCCATTCTCCCTGTTATACAGCTTCTTTCCATTATATATAAATCTCTGAATCTACACTGTGATTCATAGTATCTTATTAAATTTGCTAAATATCTCTATATATGAAAAAGAGTTTTTGTTTCATTTCCTGCAAAGAAATAATGGATCCTTCCAATTCAGATTAAGATTCAACCAAATGGGAAATATCATTACTTGGATGCAGCCAATGGTTTTCATCTTTCCTCATCCAGGATAATTCATTCCACCACAGTTCCTTGCCCTTCAGAGCAATTAAACTGTCTTTTTTAAACACCAAAATTTGCAGGGTTTCTTCTTTTGGGGTAGTTATTCCAGTAATCCAAATTATTAAGAGTTCATGTTTCTTCAACTCTGTTATATATACAGTGGTGGCCAAAATTGTGGACATTTTTGGAAATTTTTATGTTTTTGAACTTTGTATGCTTAAAAAACGTTACGTTTCACAAAATGCAAACTTGTATATATCATTTTAAAGAGAATTTTTACTGAATTCAATACAAAACACAAAATTCAATTATTTGCAATACAAAAAATAGTTAAACGATAATAGTTATCGATATACATTGGATAGTGATGATTGCAGTGAGTTATCAGTACTTAGTAGGGTATCTTTTATTTTTGATTACAGCTTCACATTGACGTTTCATTGAGCTGACAAGAGTTTTAAGCTCTTCTTTCGTTATTACATGATGCCATGAAACAATTATAGCCTCAATTAGTTCCCTTTTATTTGATGGGCCCCTCATTCGGACAAAAGTTTTCAAATGGTGCGACAAATTTTCGATAGGATTGAGGTCAGGACTGTTTCCTGGCCATGACAACAATTTAATGCTCTTTGTACGAAACCACTCTTTCGATATTTTGGCCGTGTGGCAAGGAGCGGAATCCCGCGAAAAATAAACAAAGCATTGCTAGGAAAGAGATCTCTGATGGAAGATAGAAGTTTTGGTTCTAGAATAGTGTCAATGTATTTTCTGGCATTCAGTGTCCCGTCGATGACATGAAGGCGACCAATACCATCTGCTGACATGCATGACCAAATCATAACACTAACTGGGTTCTTCACAGTTGCGTGAATGCAGTCAGGATGTAGCTCTTCTCCTATTCTACGTCTTTATTTTTTCGCCCATCACTACTGAATAACAATATCTTAGTTTCATCACTCCATATAACTTGTGACCACTGATCATCTGTCCAATTAATGTGTTCCTTTGCCCATTGTATTCCCCCCCTTTTTTTTTTTTTTTTTTTTTTGTTGCTGAAAATTAAGATAAGGCTTTTTTTGTGGAATTCTTGCTCTCAGTCCAACATCTGTTAATCTTCTCCTGATTGTTCTTGAACTGACAGAAACTCCAGCATCATTCAGATCACTTCTGATGGCCGCTGATGACATTTTTCTATCTTGGAGACATAGTCTTTTTATTCTTCTGTCATCAATAGATGTGGTGCACCTTTTTCGGCCTTTTCCTTCTTTGTTTTTTATTGAATTTGTCTCCTGATATCGTAAACAAAACTTTCGGACTATAGATGTAGTCACTGAACCACCCACCTGTCTTGCAATTTCAGCATAGGAAAGACCACTTTCTCGTAATGCAATAGTATAACAACTCTTTCTAGGTGTCCAGTTTACTCTTTTATTTGATGTCATTGCTTCTTAACTAAATATTAAAAATTTTTACAAAAATTCCTACTTGTAAGTGCAGTGTATAAGAAACAGGTCTTCCTTCTACAGAACAAAGTAAAATAATGAACTGTTTCAAGTGTAAACATGATGTCAGCTTCTACTGGTAGTTACTAACATTTGATTGGTTGGTTCTCAGAACAAGAACAGTGATTGGCCAGGAAAGCTAGACATTATAAACCACTTCATAACTGTGTTTTTTATTTATATTAAAGTACATATAACTTTTTTTTTTTTTTTTTTTTTTTTGTATTGCAAATAATTCAATTTTGTGTTTTGTGTTGAATTTAGTAATAAATTCTCTTTAAAATGATATATAGTCAAAAGTCGTTAATCTGGACTCGTCGGGACTTCGGCGATTCCGGATTATAGATCATTAGTTTAAATCTCGTAAGGTGGCATGCAGAAATTCTAAAATTGAAAACATGAAACCGTAATTTATGAAATAAAGAACGATTATGATCTAAAGGGTATCAAAATTTACAAAAAAAAAAAAAAAAAAAAAAGCTTAATATTTATTTGCTTACTTTATTAAACATTTCTTTTAATGTAAGTTGTTTAAGTTGCTTCGTTTTATGTGATACTACTTTCTCTTTAATTCTATAAACAGACATAATTTCTTGTTCAGTTACAAAGTTCCGCTGTTCAAGTCCCATAATTGCTGTGCCGAGAATACCGACTAACTTGTCAATCGAAATTTTTTCTTTTTCACTAACCTCTCTGTCACCATCTTCATGCCTTTATCCATTTTTTGCAGCAATTTCACTTTTTGTGTGATGGACATCATAACATACTTTTGTTTTGTAGATCCTTTGGGAGCTCCAGCATCGGAAATTCTATTTGACATAATCGAAAGTTCAAGTTTACTTTTGTAAAATTGCTCTTACAGTCTGCAGAAAATAATAAGCCGTATCCAATTCGAAGATTAAGGAACAACGCAATCATCAACATTAACTGAAATAGATAATTAGATAATTTTAGCTTATACAGTCCGTTATACATAAAACGTGCACGCGAAAACGTATTCTGCGCTTGCGCGCACGCATATGCGCAGTCGTAAAGGTCTTACGCGTTTGCATAAACACCTATGCGCATGTATCAACGCGTCACATGCCCAGAAAGTTTTCAGCTTTGAGGTCCGGATTATAGATCATTCCGGATTATGGGTGTCCGAATTAACGACTTTTGACCGTATACAAGTTTGCATTTTGTGAAACGTAACACTTTCTATAAGCATACAAAATTCAAAAACATAAAAATTTCCAAAAGTGTCCACAATTTTGGCCACCACTGTATATATATATTAATTTTTTAGAGTTGTTTTTAAATCATATGAAGGAATAGTCATAAAACTGAACCAGAAATAAAATTTAGTATCTTCAAAGATGTCGAATTGTGTCAAATGTACTGAAATATGTTTCTACAAGAGCTGTAAGTACAACTCTGTATTT